CCAAGGTTTTAGAAATTTATCTTTCTGTTGAATTTAGAAATGTATCTAAATGTATCTTTGTCTTACAGACAAAAATGTTTTAAATGGCTAATATCTGCAACATAAAAGAAAACATACCAAATCCACCCAAAGCGGCAGGATGACCTGGCTTTTTTCTGTTTAAACAACATGGAACATTGGTCCTCCACTTTCAAATGTTATTCCAGTTATGTCACACTCTTACAGTCTGTTCCATGCCTGCTTGATTCCCTAACACTTCTGGAAGGGGACAAGAACCACGGCTGCATTCATTGACCACCCACTAGGACCAGAGGGCAGCCAGGAGTTGGAGAATTGTCAAGGGGAACAAGGCATGATGGATGTTCTGGGGAACTCAGGGTATTAGATAGCAGAGGATCACACTGTAAGTAAGGTGGAAAGCATACGGCCTCAAGGAATTAGAGCAAAGAGGGGTGTCTTCCAGCTGAGGGAATTTCAAAATTTTGTAGAGGAGCTGAGCCTTGGAAGGATGATAGAACTTAGAGAAGAGGGCTTAACAAGGAAAGGAGCTTCAGGTAGAGAAGACAGACTTTGGAGGTCCTGAAACCAGCACATTGATCCATAAGCTTTATTAAAATGCTTTGGTAGGATAAAAAAAAAAATTCAAATACATTTCCCTGAAGGAAATAGAAAGAAATAGTCCCAAAGAAGACTAAAGGATGCAAAGTCAACCTTTCTGTAGACAAATATATAGTGGACACAAAATACTTGCCAGGTACTATGCTGAGTAGTGGAGAATCAAAGATACAGTAACTTTGAACAACTTTAAAGTAGGGTTTAAAAATCAGACCCTCCCTTTAATTTATGGCAAAGTGACCCACAGAACTGTGGGTATTGTATGTAACTGTGCTATTACATATTTTCTTCTAGGCATTCTAAGAATTAATTCCACAAAGAATTTCATTCTATGTTATTTTCACCAAAAAAAAAAAAAAAAAAAAAAAATCCAGAATGAGACAACAGAGTTACAAGAATGTGGATGCATATACAATGCAATCTCATTTAATAAGACAGATTTAACTGCATAATAAAACAGACACAGAAGGCCATTCACTCTGAAAGAATGAAGTTGCCTGGATATACCATACCTAGAGCACTGAGGCTGCATCTCTCGGCCCCAGGACCTCAGCACGTGCTTCCTTCCCTTGCCCCTGATGCCAGGCCATTGTCTCTTCTCCTAACTCCCAGATCCCACTTTTTCATCATCTCCCTCCTCCCCTGCACTGTGTTGTACCTTCATGATTCCATCTGAATAGTCTATCTAAAATGTGTACACACCTTTTAGCTCAACCAAAAGCAGCTATGGCAACACAATTGTTAGGCCATGTGTACAGGTGAGAGGCAAGTATTATCTCAGAAAAGAAATGTGAGCCAGTGAAAATCAGAGGTCACCATAAATCGAAAGGAAATGTACATATTATAAATTTCAATGTAATTATCATCATCTTTTGTAAATATATTTCCTTAGTTTTCTGATTACTCAGAATTCTAATATAGATGATGAAAGGATATTAAGAACATGTTTTGAACATGTCATAACAATATGTCAAGAATATACAGGTATTAACACACACACACACAAAGGAAAAAGAAGATATGGGTCTCTATCAAAGGGGAAAAAATTAGAAAAGATGACAATTATACAAATACGAACACAGTACTGACATGTTGCACAAGGATAATTATAGAGTAGTAGACTCTATGGAAAGAGAATGTTCCAAAGGATAAAAATCTCTGGTGTTTTTTTCTTAAGTTTTTTAAGCTACTATCTGAGATACACATTTATTCCCCTCATGGATAACATCAAAATCTTTTCAAGTTTATCTGTTCAAATGCAATGAACTAGATTATATGTAATAATAAAAAGAGAAAAATCCAGGTCATTTCCAAATTGATGATTAGTAATTTGAGGATATCTTTAAACATCATTTAAATTTCAGAAATTTACAATTAAAAAAGTTGATAACACAACTGATTTCTCTCAGGACAGTTAGCAAATTTTTAAGATTATATTTTAAGGGAAAACCCAAGAAAAATATCTTGAAAACACCCAGGGAGGGGAAGAAAAACACATTAAAATGCACTGTATTATATTATACTATTTGTGTTAAAATTATCCTTTTTCCTTTTAATTTCTCAACAAAAGTAACATTTATACAGACGTACCAAATCAGGTTAAAAAGTAGGGTCACTTGTTTCAAAATTATTAAACTAGAAATGTATTTTGAAATGTGTGGTAGATTATAGCCAAACCTTATTTCTGGATGTCTGGAAAATATATTTTATAAATTCAAATAGCCAAAGCATAGCAGAGATGAATTAGATTTAGATGTATATTATATAATTACTATTCCAAATAAATCTCACTTCTTTAGCAAGTTAAAAATTACAGACCAGAAGTTTATATTTTATTTAAGTGAAAACAAAAATTTACAGATGTTTGATATAAAAATGTCCATACATGAAATATATCCTTTCCGTGACACTAATAAATCTTTCAGTGTAAACTACAATACCCTATTTGAAGGTAAATTCATGAATTCTAACTTAAAAAACTGTAAGATGATTTGCTACTTTAGAATATCTGATATGTAGCCTGAAAATACTGGTTGGAGTCATTATTCTTAAGAATGCTATATATTCATTCATACAAGACCCCTAAACACAGGAATCAGAATTTGGTTTACAGTTTATAAACTTTGCACAAATTTTGTTAGGATAACCTGTTACCCACAGAGGAAGTTATCCATAAACAAAAACAATCTAGTATTTACTAATTTTGTATAATCCATTGTAAAACTTTCTTGGGTCTGAAGCTTTAACCAACTGGGATTTAATGTAAACCATAAGTAGGGAGAGTGAACAATGAATGATAAACAAACATAAAAGATAAGCAATATCAGAAAGAGAAAGGACAGACAGTTAACACTCAGTATAAACATGCATATAAATAAAACAAAGTGTTTTTCACTTTGCCCAAATGATCTAGTAACCTAAGTCATGGAATTTCTAACCTAGCAATGGTTGTTGTCTAATTCAGTAATTAAAAATACAATCCAGTGTGAAAAGACATTTTTCTGTTAATTTTAAAAACATTTACAGCTTACTATTTTTAAACAAATTATTTACTCAATTCTGGCCATCATGGGCTGGTTCCTATTTATTGGCAATTATTTCTGTCTTATACAAACATGTTAATTACCAGCAAGTAAATCTTGCTTTAAAAAGTAATCATAAGTGTCAGCAATTATCAAAATGGAGGATTCCCATTTGTATCTCTGGTTTAAAGTCCAATTAGTGATGTGTAGTGATACAATATGTTATATAAATACAAAACAAAATTTTTAATTTCCAATAATTTCTTTCTTAAATTTATAAAGCATATGAGATTACAGATAACTTTACAAATACGAATTTTGTTCAGAATTGGATTTTACTTTGAAAACATCCTCTTAACACAAAATATACTGTATGAATTATATTAAGCTTAAAACACAATTAGTCACTTTTATTATTCAAGAAAAAATATTAGAATGCAGTGCAATATATTTGCTAATGGAAATGCACAATTTTTTATTTCCCTAATCTCACTTCACACTGTAATATAGAATCAATTTTGGAAAGGCAAAAATTTGATCTACTGTAAAATCAGTAACTTGGTTTATTTCAAAAACTCAGAAGATTTATATAAGTAGTATTTCCAATTCAAACAGAATTTTGCCGGGTTTTAATTTTTCTACAAAGCACTTTCTAAAAAAGTTTTGCTTTAAGATGTTTTAAAGGGTTTCAAGTATCCTACAGACAAAGATATTGGAGAACACTAAATTCTTTCCAAAAAGACATCTATTTTAAGTTTTCTTTTACTCCACTGTAGACAGTCTTGAAAACTTTTTTTTCTGCTTCAAAATCTCATTTTCACCTGAAATAATTGTATTCAGGTTTTCTCAGCAGGTAAAGTATACATTCTTACAAGGTTTCAAATTTCAGAATTCCAATAATGCGTTTAAACTGAGCACTTCTCTTTGTGTGTCTATTACCTTGCAGTTCTGCTATTTACACCAAATTTTAGGCTTTTTAGCTCTTCAGAAATACCTTAGTGAACCCTCAGCAGTTACTAACCACTTAGTAACTGTGAACTTGCCAGCCCCCTCAAGTAGATCTTTAACCACAAATCGTCTGACAATTTCCAAACCATATCCTCTGTCCAAAAGGAAAAGATAGGGCTTTGTGAGGCCGAAAGGAAGCAAAGGAAAACAAAACAAATGTAGCTCATGCTGAAAGTGAAAAGTGCTTGGACAGATTAGTATTTTCTTTTCTGCAAGGCATCCTGCCAATTTTTTTTCTTTAATAGAGAAGAGTTATTTTTTGGTCCGATTTTTCAGTTTCTTGGAAAGTGTTGGTATTTACCACCCCCACCGGCCCTGATAATTACTGTTGGTTGTTTTGTGTTTTTCCCATCCGTCCACGTCACAGACTGCTGATACCCCCGCCTCACCCTGTCAAAACCCCAACTCTGGGCGACCCCGGGTTTGGAAACTCCGCCGACTCCCGACAACACGTCCCACTGTCTCCCTCTCACGCGCCGCATTTTAGTCGCGGGATCCCCCGCACTCCGGTTGCAGTGAAAGCCGGAAATTTTCATTTAACTCTCCTCCTTCGCGCCCCCCACTCGCAGCGGAGAGCTGGGGAGCTGGGAAGCTCAGAACACAGCCGGGGCTCGGCCGCCTCCCCTCTCTCCGGAAGGCTTTAATTTGCACACTTGCTTGCCACCGCGCCCCGAGCCCCCGGCCCCGCAGCGGGGTGGGTCTGGGGCAGAGGCGGCTTCGCTGGTCCCCGCCCCCGCCGCGCGGTCGCCCCCGCCGCCTCCCCGGCTCGGGCCCCCAGCGCCGGCCAGAGCCCCGCCGCCCCCGTCCGCCCCCAGCGAGCGGCGCGGGCGGCGCCCTCTCAATCCCTCCGCCCTCCGCCGCTGTGCCCACCCCCTAGCCGGAGAGAGTGCTGGTAAGTCCTTCCCCAGAGTCTGGTTACCTGCTCCGCGCGGCCGCGGACACGTGCGGAGGTCCGACTGACACTGGCAGACCCCGCGGGAGGCCGGACGTGACCCGGCCCCTCAGGTGAGGAACTACGCGCTCGAGTGGGTGGGCTGCGGGGTGGGGGGTCCCAGGGGAGATCAGAGGCTAGGCCGGGGTCCAAGGCAAAAATGTGGGTTGGGGGGTGTGGGGTTGTGTGTCCTCAGAATCGGCTTTGGTTAACCCTTTATGGACTGACACGGAGTAGGTTACGGGGGCCAGTTTAGGGGGAACTAGTTGTAAGTCTTTCCTAATCTTGTGAGAGGGGGACGTAGCACACGTGGGACACCCCCGACACCGAGATCCTGGTCCCACATTATCTGTGTGCACAAACACCCACACGTACGCTCTTCATCCACCTCCTCCAAATGGAACTTGAATTCCATTCGGACGTTCACATAATAATAATTCACATTTAGCGTTTAAAATGCCGTGCCTCCGGGGACTCCACGCTGAAGACTGTGTCTCCGTGCCCCATATTTACTTCCCCGCGAAAGCTCCCTCTCCAGCTTGCTGAGGTGTGGGTGTGGGCTCCACCTTCCCCACCATGAGATAAATGTTAACGCAGGCTTCCTGCGGGCGTGTTATGCAGAAAGTGCCAGCAGCCGCCCAGTGCTCGGGCTGGGAGCCCCGCGAGGACGCACGTTTGCTTTAGTTTGCAAGTTTACTTTTGTAATTTAAAATATCGGAGTTAAAACGCACGCCCCGCGGTGAGCAGTTCTGGGCCCCGCAGCGCGCCAGTTTGCACATGGACGCATCTGCGTGTGCGCACACGCGGGAGTCGCGGCCCCCGGTGTGGCCTCTTGTCGCTGCGCTGGTGGCGACCCTTGTGGTGCTTGGCAGGCTTCGGGAGAGGCACATGAAGGATTTCATTGAGTGTGAAGACAGAGAGCAGAGACAGAAAGCAGAAGGAGGCGGCTGCAGCCTTTGTAGTCGCGGAGGAATGCGGAAATGTTGAAGCACTATGTCAAACTTTTTTGAAATGGGGTCAAGTCACATTCAGCCAGCGTGGGAAAGCAACAACAACAACAAAAAAAAGTGGAGGAGAGGGGGGAAAAAGGCACTGCTGCTCCCGTTTCTCTCTGCCGAAGCCGACCGTCTGGGGGGTGGGTGGGGGGTGTAGAGAGCCAGGACCGGCGGTGCGGGGCCGGGCGGGGGCAGCGGGCTCAGTTCCCTGCGGGGGTGGGACGTCCCCGACGCTTCCTTCGCTGCAGAGCAGGGGGCCGGACTCGAGCCGGAGGGGGAGGGGGACGTGGGAGAGGTGGGTTGGGCGGCCGGTGGCGGCTGTTGGGCTACCTGTGTGGCCCTCGACCTGGCCCAGACCCCCCGGGCGGGCTCTGAGGGCTTTTTCCCAGCTTTAAGTAAAGTTCTGAATAGAGTAAGAGAGAGAAGCCCTGCCTTCGCTGCGGTCCGCTCCGCCCGCATACTGTGGGTGTCGCGCCGTTTGTTGTTTCTTTAATTCAAGGCAGAAGGCGACCGGGCCAGCGGCTGCGGGACAGGTAATTCTGAGGCGCCCCGGGAATTCCGGACACGCGGCCAGCGTGGCGAATGTCTGGCCGAGGCCGCGGCGGCCGTGGGGGAAGGAAGGCTCTCTAGGTCCCGGGTCGCTGAAAGGGAAGGGAAGTTAGGGTACCCCCCCCTTTCAGCGCTTTGTTATGCATAGGGCCCTGGGGGGCGCCCAGCTACAAAGCGGACCGAGCTTCTAGCTGAAGGGGGATTGGACAGCCGCCTCTGTTACCTACTTGGGGGACGGTCCTAGGAATGGAAAGAGGTTCTTGAGCCTCGACCCCGAGAGCACAGCCCCTTCTCTCACACCCTCGTGGGTTCAGCATTTACTTCCCCCACCCACCGGGTTAGAGAAAGGTTGAATTTTGCTCAGGTTTAATTAGTTGAAAACTTTATCTTACTCTTGAAGTTATCCTTGAAGGAGATGAGCGAAAGTGTGGCTAACACCTCTTTCTCCCACCCTTGCGATCCACCGGGGACTTCCCCCTCCCGAGCCTCTGGGTCGCCCGCCCCGGTGTAGCCCCATCCCTCCCCAACCAGATGGTTGGTCTTCTCTGGGTTTCCACCAGGGAGGTCCTCCCAGTCGGAGAGAGAATTCCGTTTCCAACTGAGACTCTTACCCCAAAAAGACCATTTGTGTGTGAGAGTCGTTAATGTCTCCTCGTAGAAAAACTGAAAGTAGAAAGAAAGGAAGCAATTTCCGAGCAGATGTCTGACCACCCCTTCTCGCACACTCCGAGCATCGGGTTACAGGGTCTTGGGAGCCCCCACCCACATTCTGCGGCCCCACACGGGTGTACCCACAGTCTCTCTACACCAGCTTGTGCGCGACCCCTGAATGCCCCCCAACACCTCTGGACCCCCCACTTCCCTGCACGTCCAGGCCTCGGGAAGCGGAGAGGGCAGCAGCGCTACACAATGATATAAGGATAAATATTAAGCCGTGACTTTGACGTGCCGGGCTCCTCCCCTCCCCCGCGCTCCCGGCACACTCTGTGCAGCTCGGCACGCCCCCTCCCGTTCCACTGCGTCCCGGGCCGCGCGCTTATCCCCGAGGGGCCCCTGTAACCTCTCCGCGCGAAGACGGCTCCAGCCCTGCAAGGAAAGAAAAGTAACTTCGGTTTCTCGGAGGAACCAGGAAGGATTAAGCCGCTTGGAAACGGGCAGGAGCGCGTGGAGGGTAGCGATGGGGACTTCGTGAAGGAGGAGGAGGGGAGTCTGGAGGAACCCCAAGGAAGGCTTCTGGGATGTCTGATTGCACTTTCTTCTTGTCCTCTCGTCTCCTCTTTTAGGTGCAATGATTGTGGACTGAGACGCGCTCGGGCAGAGGCTGTGTAATCATCTCCGCGTCTGTGCAGAAGACTTCGCTTCGGAGAGGGAAGAGGAGGGATCGGCTCGCTCCTCCGGCGGCAGTGGCGGCGACTCTGCAGGCGGAGTTTTGCTGCGGCACCAAGGTTGCGCCAGCCCCGCGGGGAGGTCGCTCCATCCAGCCTAGGCGTAGCGAGAACCCCAGCGCCGCAGAGCCCGAGCAGGCTGAGGGCGAGGGAGGGCGAGACTGAGCTCTCCAGAGCCCCGGAGGAAGCGAGCGGCGGCCGCGAGCAAGTCGAACGCACCCCCCGCCCGCCCCAGTGGCGCCACGCCGGGTGGCGTCCAGGCGGCATGGAGAAGGACGGCCTGAGCCGCGCTGACCAGCAGTACGAGTGCGTGGCGGAGATCGGGGAGGGCGCCTACGGAAAGGTGTTCAAGGCCCGCGACTTGAAGAACGGAGGCCGTTTCGTGGCGCTGAAACGCGTGCGGGTGCAGACGGGCGAGGAGGGCATGCCGCTCTCCACTATCCGCGAGGTGGCGGTGCTGAGGCACCTGGAGACCTTTGAGCACCCCAACGTGGTCAGGTGAGCCGGAGCTGCGCCCGCACCGTCGGGGCCGCGCGCTCGCGGAGGGAGGGCCGGGCCTGGGAGCCTAGGGCCGGGGGACGTGTGGGGAAAGGGGCTCTGGAGAGGCCCGGGGCGACCCGTTGACCTTACAGAGCCTGAGTAAGTTTTGTCGATAGGGTCTAAAGCCAGAGCCAGTGACCTTGTTAGAGAGCACGAAAAGACAAGGCAGAAGGCGTGATCTGCGCTGGCTTCCTCGCCGCGGTGCTTTAATCTTAGGTGCTTTCTCCCGCATGCCCTGAAGGAGGGTTCGGAGGAGTTGGGTGCCTTTTAGCAATGCAACAGGAGACACCCGTGCGAGCCCCGCACCCCCAACGTAGTTTTACTGGCAGTGCCTTTAGGAAATTTTTGAGAAACTTGAGAATGAGGATGCAGTGTGATAATTCGTAAGACGTTACTGATGGTGCCTAATACGTGTATAATTCGGGTTAAGAAATGCAGAAACTTACAAGAAAATAACACTCAAAACAGTTTCTCTTTGTTAGAGTTGCATAATAGGAATGATTCCTGATGATGTAAAGAGTTGGAACGCTAATGCCCAATTTCTAATGACGTTGTTTAAAATTCTTCTTTCAAAAATTACCTATGTGTCTATATTACTTTATATATCTGGGCTGGCATGGTCCTTAAATTAATTCTCCAAAGGGTTAGATGTGAGGCCAAGATATGGTATCGTTAGATTCTGAATGTTCTGCCTATGCATTCCCCGAGGGTTGTGCAAGTGGGCAGGGAGACAGCAGTTCTCTCCTGTATGGTAACCAGTGTTAAATGGAAACCTATGTGACTTGGGATAGTAGTGTTTTCTTAGTGATTATGGAATTTCCCCACTGTGTGGTTGACATTGGTTGTGTCATCCATTTCTTTTTTAAAACAGAGATGCATAACTTCAAGTTAAAAAAGAGTGCCTAGAAACAGAGTGGGTTGTGATTTTACCTTTTTCAACTCTCAAGACAACGCGTTGGAGAAAGGCGATCTCTGTCTTCTCATCCATCTAGGTTTCTGTTCAACAAATACATGCCTACTGTGTGTGCTGTGGATTAAATTATGTAAATAAGTACAGCTAAATATTTTTGTAAAAAGTCAAACAATTTAACATTAGTCATCAAAGTGGAGAGACCTAAAACTGACCTTTGAAATACCAAATCCTCTATAGACTCAGGGAGACCAAGTGTCTACAGAATCTTTCTGGGAGGTTTTAACTTGTCTCCTCTTATCCTAGGCTGGTGATTTCTGTGGCACTTTGTTCCCAACACAGTTAGATTCAGGCTAGAAGGAAGCAAAGAATCATAAATACATAAAAAAGGTAATAAATGGTTATAAAAATAAGTCCCCATTATACCTCTGCTTTAGCTAGTGAAGGACAAAATATATTGAGATTGAGAGTATAAGTGTTTAGGAAGATGGGATTCTATATAAAGGAAATAGATTACTTTTCTTGTGTGTGTGCTTTCTTTGTTAAAAACAAAATCTCTTTGTGTGTGTAGGGGGTGTCTTTGTGATATTGGAGGGAAAAGGGGAGAGTCCATTCAACTCCCTGTAACGTAAGTTTATCTTCCCAGAGGAATCACCTAAGTACTTCTCAAAGGATGATTTCCAGCACTAGAATTTTACAAAGTTCTTGTTTAATTTTGTCTATTACTTTGGAATGTCTAAATAAGGGTGATTATCATGTATATAAATAAAATGTTTTTCCAGTATACAGGTATTTCAGAGGCATCCCTGGGTGACACCGTCACTTGTTATACAAAGTACAATCCATTGTTGTAACAGAAGAATACTGTTTTTGCCATTGTGCTGGTAGATTTTCTCTGATCCATCCTGTTCTTTTGATTTATCCTCTAGAGACTGGTTTATCTTTAGAGATTTCTAACTAAACTGTGACTTGGATTCTGTGCTGTGAATTTCAGGAGGATGTATTTATGAATTGAAGATAAAGACATTGTTTTCTAAGATTATTTTTCCTCGTTAAGTGATGATGATGGCACCTATCTCTTGTAGTTGTGAGGGTAAAGTGAGATAATGTCCGTGAAAGCACTTTGTAAATTGAAAAGTACTTCAAATATCTAAGTATTATTTGTATCCCGCAGATCAGTGGGACTTTTGCCCTGGAGCAACCTGCCCGAAAGGCTTTAGTTCCCCTGACCTTTTTATAGAACAAATCGTGTTAAAACCCAGATATTACAGGCTCTGGAACCAAGAACTTACTTGAGCTTAATTAGCCATAATTTGTCAGAAAGGACTATCAGTCATATGCCATGAAATTCAGCGACACTTGAGGAAATAGGAAATTATTGATGATGTCACCCTCACGAGCTGCAGATCCCCATTCCCCTTCCTGTTTTTTCTCTTCTGCCTCTGCCTTAGGGCAATCATTGCCCCCATGACTTGCTTGGCCAGAATAAGAATTCTAGATTTTAGAGGTTACTAATTTTAGAAGTGTTCAGGCAGAGTCAGGAAATCAAGGACAGGTGACAGTTCTTTTCCTTCCAAGGGAGAGTTGTCAGTTGGGCCCACAAACCTATGATTTACTGTTGCCCCAGGATCAGTTTTACAGTCTTATCCCTGGCTTTTTAATGGTTTCTTAAAAGGGCAGATGCTTTTATAAGTTCCTTCAAGTCATAAGTAATTGATCATAATTATAGGCCCTCCCCTTGGATAGTTAAGCCTCTAAGCTAGAAGGAGCATAATAAACATATTAGTTTTTCAAAAGTTCAGAATTTAATTTTGATGGATTTGCCAGAAAAGCGGGCTTGTTATTGCTGGCACTGGTACTGCCTGAATATACAGGGATAATGACTTTAAATTCTTGCTTACTTGCACTTGATGTATCCCAGGCCCAAGCTTGATCAGCCAGTCAGTGTCTGGGATGTAAATTTACTCTTATTTTGCAGTTGGTAATCCCAATTCCCGGAACTCTTGCCAGCATCAGACTTCAGAATGTACCTATCTTGGAGCTTCTGCACTCCACAAATGGATCCTGTTTTAACATCCTGAACTATAAGAAAATAAAGAAATTTTTAAAAGTAACATGTTTTGTCAGCAGTCTGCTCATTGACCTTATGTTTACTGAGGGCCTACTATGTGCCAGACACTTACAGAAGTTGGGGATACAGCAGCGAACAAGTCTGAAAAAAGTGTCTGCACTTGAACTTACCTTGTAATGAGATGATCAGTTTTTTTCTCTTTAAAAATTTGTTCATCTTTATTTCAGTTGTCTTATTTTTTTGCAATATTTAAACTAACCAGTTTTGTAGAACAACTAATAATTTGTGATAAGTAAGTAACCAGGAATTTGCTCATTGAGTAAGTACCATAATTAAAACATTAATCAGAATCAAATGCTTTTTGAAGATTACATTTCACCTTGTGGACCAAGGTATTGATCTATATAAGAACATATTGACACATAACTAATACATGTGAACATTGAACTCCATTTATTCAACAAGTATTTAGAGAGGATCTACTCTTTAACAACCATGGGGATAGGTGCTGGGAAAGATGGCCAGGTAAATCACACCTGGCTATTTCTTCAGGTAGTTCTCCTTGTGTTTGAAGTAAGATGATGACTATAACCCGTATAGGTGATAGTATCATGTGCTGTTAGAAAGGTACAGATCAGTGCTACCTGTATTGCTCCCAGAGATTAAATTTCTTAAGTAGCAGGAAAAGCAATTCAAATTCAAGTATTTCAAGTATTGGCTCTGAAAAGTCTTGCATATCAGTGAATAAACTTGTGATGTTTAAATGTCTGAATATGTCAACTTATTATTAAAATATTTAATCACTTAAACAAAAACCAGAAAAGAAAAATGATGAAAGGCTGTGCCCAATGATTATTCAAGGACAGTTTTCTTATTTTCTCTTTTTAAAGATTTCAGTAATATTTAGCATAAAAAGAAAGTAAAAAATACGATTTTGTTTAGAAAACTGAATTATTTACAGGGTAGAAGAAACATATTACTTGACTCAGTGGAAAGTCAGATCTTTAGGAAAGTTAGTTCGTGGGAATACTTCTGAATAAAAGTGTTACTTTGTGGTTGAATAATACATTTATTAGGATTTTTTTAAAAGCAGGCAAAGCAGGAGTTTAATTCTTCTTTTAGATTTAAGTATGTTTGTTCTTTCATTCTCTAAGAGTTCCTTGAAAAGTTTCCAGTTTATCAAGGCTGTTTAGTAAATAAACATTTTCACAATGGCATTATGCTCATTTCTTATTTCTGCAAAAGAACTAGATAATGCTGAATTTTTCACATTGCAGTTATATCCCTTTCATACAACTATTATTACCAACATGAAGTTACTAGAATTTCTCTGTGGAATCCACGAGAAAATAGGCTCTAAAAGGGAAATTTGTATAAATTTGAATATCTTCTGGGTTGTTTTCCTATGTTTAAGATATGGATAAATGAAATAGGTATGAAAACAGACTCCCTACTAAAAATAAATTATCTTTTTTTTCTTTAAATATTCCTCACCATTAATGATTCTTTAGAAATGTTTTATTTTGTTTTTTTCCTGCCCCTGCAGTGTCCTGTCTCCAGCACCAGTGCCCCTTCTCTGGTAGGCTGGCAGGGTGGTCATAAGCGGAGATCAAGAGCTGCCCTTTCTTTTTGTGGCACTAATTCCACAAAGACTGGCAGAACCCAGGCCACATGGCTGGGACTTGGAAATGTTTACTAAGAAGGAAACATCTCATACTTTTAGTATATCTTTGTAAAATCATGGGTATTAAGAGTTGAAAGACATTTTATAGGTCAAAATGTTGACTTGTTTTTAAAGCTGAGTAGAATTAAAATGTTTTGTTTGATGGAAGAAGTTAAATCAAGTGAGTACATTTAAAGGTGATGGTTTGTTAGGAATAAGTGACATCTATCAATTCAGAAAATTTCTGAGTTCTGCAATATGCCCTACTGAAGTATAACTGTAAAAAAAAGTATCATGATTATGCCATTAAATTC